GAAAACAAGTCAGGTCAGTTCTGATATTATCGAAGAACGAAATTGGACATCGGTAAGCGATTTATATACAAGATATTTTTGCATGCAATAATCCTAGATGTTCATGATAATTGCTATTTAAATAACAGCAGCTATTAAATATTTAAACATGCTTTTTGACACGAAATAACATGAATAACAATTTGTAAACTGGTAATATTCTTTGTTTTGGATGTATAAAATCATATGTGTTACTTATGTATCACTTTTATTTGAAAAATTTATTAATTTATTTTGATCTTATATTACCATATAGATTCCCACACCACGTATCTTATGCATTCTCGTATATTACATTTTTTTATAAAATCACAATTATGGTGGTAATAAGACGTAATATTTTTAATATATTAATAATAATATTAGATGTAGTTACTTCTTTCATTTTTGAAACAAAAATTTATCTCTATTTTTGCCATACTTTAGTATCATTTTATACTTTAGTATCATATGTTTATAGGACAAATTATCTGGGAATGTAATATTGCGCGTTAGAACGTGATTGCTAATTCCAAACAACTCTGTAATAATTTGTGTAGTTACTCATGATATTTACCATAAAACAAGATATTAATTTATTTATGCTTTCAAATACTAGTAGAAGGGCTAATATATTTTGAGAACATCAGACATCATGCAGAATTTTTATAATATAAATATTAATTTTGTACAGAGCAATATACTTATACTATTTGTTCATTTATTTTTGTAAAACCGCCAATTGGCTATGTAGAATATGACTTATAATTTAGTTATATTAATTCATAACCTAATTAATATTTTAATATTTTATATATGTGTATATAAGTCTATTTTCACATTTACTAAATTATATAAAATTTTATATATTTCTAGAAGTAAGCACAATATTATTACCTAAACTACACTATATTAACATAATTATAAAGAGATGTAAAAATATAAGAATAATTTAAAGGATATCAAGGAATTCTATTGGCACGAACATATTTACTGATTGTTTATTTCATATATGTACTTTTTAAATAGTTTCTATTTAAACACTGTAATTTTTGTGTTTAACACAATATCTAAAGACAATGACATATTTCAATCATAGTATTTTTTTTTCATAGCAAAGTATCAACAAAATACTTTAAACTTTAAACACTATTTGTTCTAAATGCTAGTATATAATGAAGCATTGTTACATTTTTTGATAACATTGATCAATAAGAACAATAAATAATTATTTAATTTTAATTTCATAGTTTGTGTGATATCATCACTATTAGAAAATGATAAATAAATTTTATCAAATAGTGGTAGACCAACTGTTTGGTGAGGGGTCGTCCATTAATCACGTGATCGATTTTTTAAGGCATTTTGAAACCCCACTCCCTTTTGGTGATACCTGGTGATATTCAAAATTAACCCCTCTCCCCCTCCCGCAAATATCACGTGTATTTTTGGTTAAATTTTTATTTTATTTTCTTTGAAAATGTTTGGATTTAAAAAAAAATCAGATTAATAATAAATACACGCAAAGTCTTATTATAACCCTCCCTCCCAAACGTGATATTTCTTGATTTTTTGTTAAACACCCCCTGCCTCTAAAAACCACACGTGATTAATGGACTCTTCCTTATCCCAAAGCCAAGTTAACAGTTATAGGACTCAATATATTATTGATTTATTAATGCATTTTGTTTTTATTTATATTTTTAGAAAATGGATCGATGGATCGGAAAAGTAGCCGTTGTTACCGGAGCAAGTGCCGGAATTGGAGCAGCAGTTTCGAAAGATCTTGTTGAGGCAGGAATGAAAGTTGTGGGTTTAGCAAGACGTCTGGAACGTATGGAGGTAATTATAATTTATCTCTTATTTATAAATATATAAATCTATAATTTATTATACACTTAATCCCAAATCCATCCTAAATCTCTTTAGGAAAATGCTGCAAAAATGGACACCAGCAAGGGTGGAAAGTTCTATCCTAAGAAGTGCGATCTGGCCAAAGAAAGTGAAATCATGGATGTATTTTCGTGGATCAAGGAAAATCTTGGAGGAGTTGATGTCATGATAAACAACGCAGGAATGATGAAGTAATTATTATTATTTTTTTATAACATTTTAATATTGATATCAGATACCAAGTTGAAATCCGAGCACAAAAAATGTGAAAAGACAGTTTTATAATTTATTTATTCTAATTTTCGATTCGATTAATAGTATGTTATAATTTTAATTACAAAGATTGAAAGTGTGGATTTGGATCTTTCATAGTTATTAATTATAGAATTATATTTGTATAAAATTATTTCAATGGCATTATCACAATGTGATGACAACCTTGATACAATACATTGTGATGAAGTTAATAAACACGGTTATGATATTATTGAATTGTCATGGTGTTGAACAGTTATTTTAGCATCATAACAATGACTTGCAATTTATTTGCAAAATTAATCATCATGCATAATTGAATGCATAATAACAAATTAGTAATGTTTATTAATTGATCTATACTATTGAAACATATGCTACTGATTTGCCAATTGGATAGATAATTTGTGCTTTGCTAGATTTGATTGATATATCTTTTACTTATTAATATTACAATATTATTGGTAATTAATCAATATGTTTTTAGGATGACAATGTTAACAACACCAGATAATGGCAATGATTTGCGTACTGTTTTGGATATAAATGTAATGGCTCTTTGCATATGCACCAGGGAAGCATTTAATTCTATGAAAGAACGTGATGTTGCTGGTCACATTATTCATATAAACAGGTAATATTATTAGAAATACCTTATTTTGATATTTCTAATTTTACAAAACAAATTTAAACGTTCTGTTTTCAACAGATAACTAGTAGTTATTGAGTGCATAAGAAATTTGCAATTTAGCTTGAAATTAGCATAACATTATAATATATGCTTTTTAAAATAATGTCAAGACATGGAAATCAATAGTTGTTTATTTTTACAATCGCTTATCGTGGGTACAATTATTCAAAAATAATATGAATGTAAATTAGAAATATTATTGAGGTATTTTAAAAATTAAGGATAAATGCAAAATAATTTCATTTTCATACTAATGCAGTTATTGTTACTGTATTATAATATTTAACAGTTATTTTAATAATATTATGATAATAATATTTCTCTACGTGGCTTCTCTACGTAGTTTTTTTTAATTCTTATTCTATCTATTTGATATATTTTATATCATTATTATTAATTTTCAGCCTGACAGGACATCATGTTCCTTACTTGGGCGATTTTCCACCAGTATTCAACATATACCCAGGCTCAAAACATTGCGTTACTGCCTTAACAGAAACTTTAAGACAAGAAATGAACTACCTTAAGAGCAAAACTAAAATTACTGTAAGTATAAAATAAAGTTAATATCAAATATATTTAGCTTAAATTTTTAATTATGATTATTATTTTTTAGAGCATAAGTCCTGGTCATGTAGCAACAGAATTTTTAGAAGAACCATTTGGTCAAGAACAGTCGGATCAAATAAAACAACATCATCCGACTTTGCAGCCAGAAGACATTTCTCAAAGTATTCTTTTTGTCTTGGGTACCCCAGAACATGTTCAGGTAATAAACTAAAATAAATAAATTTGTCAAAAATAAAGTCATAAGAAATTTTTTTTCTGAACTTTTGATATACTATAGCAGTTTAGCATTAACGTTAACGAGATCAGCATATACTTCTCTGATCAATATATAAACTTTTCAGAAATCAATATATGAAACACGAGTTATTGCTTGTTTATTAAAATTTTTGTAAATTATATATTTAAACTAATTACTATAATAAAATAAAAATTTGTTTTAGGTCCACGAACTCATAATTAAACCAGTAGGCGAAAAGTCTTAAATACATTTAAGAGCATCGTATTTTTTTAAACGTGAGTGGCACATAATATAGAATATTTAAAATTATAATGGTTAAATATTGTGAATATTATCAAATATTTAAATATAATTTATATCAATGTGCACTAAAATTTTCAATAGAAATATATTATAATTCATTTTTTATTATACACGCTAACAAATAGACGTTTTTCAATATTCATGTATATAGTATAGTTGTTTTTCATTCCTATCATAATTTTCATTTCACTGATCATAATTTATAGAAGTTTAGAAATTTCTAAGAGAATTCTAATGTGCATTCGGAGAAAGTAATTAGTCACCATTTTTATAGTAAATCAACTTTATCATCATCATTTAATTATATAAAGTTATCGAATTTTTACAGCATCATTTCATCTCTCTATAACTTTTAGATATTTGCTTTCACATTATTTAATTAAACTTTCTTATTGTATAAGTTATATCAGAATATAAATAAAATATCTTAATAATTTTGAATCAGTGATATTAAATGATTTTATATTTTCGTGTATTTCTAGCATAATATTAAAATTCATATAGAAATGTTTAAAATGTATGTGATTTGAACACTTTAAGACAGATATTGAATTTTTACTAATACTTCTTATAATTTTGGTTATTTTAACAACAAATATATATGTTGTTAGATATGGATATTTTTTCAGAAATGATTAATTGTAAATTGAACTTGTTTCTCAATTATTACTTACAATTGTTGAAGTTTATAGTATATTTATTTTTGCTGAAATTAAATTGTTTGTTCTTTTTTTTACAAAATGTGAAATTTGTATGTAAATAATTATTTATTTTTATAAAACTTACAGGATAATTTTCTTATCAATTTAAGCATATTCCTGAGGTCCACATCTATACGGGCAGTGTACATAACATCTCTCAACAATCATATAAAATATAATAAAATAATATACATTAAAATATATTACTAATCTATATAACTTAAATCAGTTCGGAATTGGATTCGACGACAGTTAGGATGTAACTTGTCATCGTTAATAAAAATATATATATCTAAATTAAAATTTGGTCCGATTTATAAATCTAATTGGAGGCGACCAATTTGCCTTGGTTAGACCCTCAGATTGGGGTTGGTGTAACGGACGTATTTCAGGAGGGCATCGTTTTCTTCGCAGACGAAGGGCTTGCGGTGGTGGCAGGCGACATCGTGCCAATGGACACCATCGTTGTAAAAGTTGTTCAGAACGGCCAAACAATTTTCGGTTGCTCCACCTTGTTTCAATTCCTGGGGGGGGAAATATGTATTAATAGATAATTAAAATTTCCAAAAAACACCTCTTATTTTACTAGAAATATGGACTTTCTTGGGACATTCAATGACAATCCAATGATCTAGAGACATTTAAGTAATCTCTCTTAATTGGTCTTAATCTCAGTAAATTCTTTAGAATAATTTTGGCTTTTTAATAAAATTTAAACTCACACTATATATATTCTTAACGATCACAATAGTTTTACTTTACAGTTTAAATTGAATAATTTATAACTTCGAATTCTCTTTACAATACTAAAATATTCTAAAACTGAAAAGTTAGTGTTAAAAATTTGTACAATCGATATCATGAAGTGACTGATAAAGTTATTCGAAATAAGTTTATTACTATGAAATAATTATTTTTTATTATTATTTTTTTACTTACTCTGTTGTCTGGTTGGGGAAGACCAATACCACCTCCTTCAGACCAGTCGTTTTGTTGTCTGTCTGTGGTTGGGGCAAGTTTCTGCAATTCGGCGGTCCAGAACCATCCATTTACGGAAACAGGTTGTAAATCTGGTCTGTCACAGCCCTTGAAGTCACATAGACGACCGCTGGTCCAGATGTATTTCACCTAATAATCGAAAATTATTTTGTAGAAACGATTACATGAAGAGAAAATTTATGAAATTATACTACAAAAGGTAAGTACCTGCCATAAAATATTTAAAGATTATTGCATATTGAAGAGCTTTTAAGAAATTATTTATATTAAGATAACATCAAGAATTCCCTTAAATTATTGGAAAGCAAAACTGTATATTTAAATTTGAAGTAACTATTACTACTCATTTGAAATCGGATCAAATATTCTGGTGTACGATAGGTTCTCAAGAACTATTTGTTCTTCCAGCAAATTATATTCAATGTTTTAAAGTTATTATATTTTCAGTTTTATGTATCTTACATTTCCATTGACAATTCTTTGCTTGATCCATTCATTTTCGGCACTGGTTTCCAAACTGACACTGTCCATGCAACGTTGGCGGCAGAAGTTGCGGACGCCCAACCAATCTTCTTCAACACCAGCCAATTGTGGGTCACGCCATGAGAAGAAGTATCCTTTGCCTGAAAAAATAGGTAAAAAATCAATTGTTTAATATATAGAAATTCTTTCATAGTTCAGTTATTTTTAGTTTAATACTTTACAAAATTTTGTGATTATAATCAACGTTTTCTTTTTTAACCCTGAATTTTTTAAATAAATATTTATTATTGTCTATTATCGAATATAGGAAAACATTAAATTTTAAATTAGTAAATTGCTTAATATAATTTTAACTTGATGGTTAATGATGGTTTTTTTATATTTTTTTACATACCGTCTGGGCTACGTTCGTGTATCGTCCTTTGGGCGCAGAGTGCAGGTACTGGTGTTCTAAAATGCGTCCATTCTGGAATTGGCT